ATTTTATTTTCAATTTTAATTAATAAATATCACAAAAAGAAAATTTATAAAATGATTAAAATTTATTTCAATTACTTATTCCAATACCATTATAGTCCTTCATACTTAAGGTAAGAAAATATGAACACAGGAAAAACTTACACATTTGTCTATGAAAAAATTTCCTAATAAGAAGAATTTGTAGTTGTAAATTTAAATATTAAACACATTAATGACTTTTTTGAATTTCTAATAATGTGTGAAAAACAAAAAATACGGTAAAGAACACAATTAAAGTAATTGTTATTAGTGTACAGTAACAATTCTCTCGTTCGTAACAACTTTTTCTCAGGAAAAGAACGTGGCGTGCATTTTAGAATTGAACCGGATGTAGAACTTCTATAATAAAAATTCATATATATTTATACTAATAATAACAGTTTCAGTTACTACAGATTATCTCTGAAGTACTATTATATTTGCACACTTACTTCATATCTATTAATACATATGCCAACGTTTGTAACGTTATCAAATTGTTATTTTGATTATTATTTTCACGTTTTTGTCGTTTATGTAAAAAATATATCCATTTAATTGCAAATATTCTCACTTTAAATATAAAGAACTGAAATGTTTATTATTATTATTATTATTTCTCAGACAGAATTTAAAATTAAATAAAGTTTTTGACAATTTTACTGAATCTGAATGTTATAAATAATCAAAAATAAATTGAATAACTTATGTAATTACACAGAAATGATATACATTTTATATTTTATTGATATTACAGTAGAGCGTCGTTTATAAATTATCCGAATCAATTGGGAACTGGGGTTGTTCATATAACTTATTTTTCGGATAACCAATTATATACTAATTTTTCCCGTGTTGAAATTTTTCTCCGTTGCGTCTCGCTTCGCGTTGAATTTTCGTCGATGTTAAGCCTAACGAAGACTATTGTATCGTTAAAAATTATTTTTTTATTTTGTACAAACAAAATAAATATATTGAAAAATATAAAAACAATAAAAAATTATACTTCAGAAGTTAATTTAGTATCAAAAACGTAAAATATTTGAGTAGCC